CCTTGGCGTGAGGCCAGTCACGTGATCATCGCCCCGCGGTGATCGTTACCTTCTGACGTGGTCGTCGGTTGGCGTTCAGCCCCGACTCCTTCATCAAGGGTGGAGTTCCTTTTGTTGCTTGTAACAAAACGGAGGGTTTGTGATGGGGGATGGAGATAAGGTTGTCGGGATAGGTAAGTATTCGGTTGGGCGAAACTCGCCGCAATGGTGACAGACGTCGCCTCCCATAAAAATGAAGGTCGTTGGTGTGGTGCGAGCCAGTGCGCAGATGTGTCCTATAGTGTGCTGTCGACAGAACGTTAGTCTCATTGCTAACGGAACGCAGGACGACACGAAAACGTCGTGGTTGAGAGACAGGATATCGTACCCCTGGCGCATTGAGCAGGTAGAGACTGCCATCCTCGAAATAGTCTAAGGCATCAAAGCGCCCAAGCTTCAAAACCCCATCCGTGGCGAAGTCGATCCCACGGAGTGGGCGATCCCTGTACAGAGCAATCAGTCATGTGTTTCCATTGTTGTAGGGAAACTAACTTGTAATCTGTTTCCAGAATCGGGCTGTTTTGGTTTGCCGGGTAGCCAGGAATGGGAGCATTGGAAAAGCCGGGCCCAACAATAAGCTCTGTATCAGGAGCAGAACGTGAGGTATCACCCACGTGATCAAAGTGCCAATGACGACAATTTAAGATGATTAGATAAGGATCTTATCGTGGGAATGGGGGAAACTTACCTCCATATCACAGCATTAATATCCTCTTTCTTTACGCCACCCTCCTCCAGAACATCGACGACGTCCTTATCTCCATGAACCTCTACGCCTGCAGGCTTGAACATCTTGAGCAGCGCTGGAGAAAGGTTGCGCCAGTCCTTGCGGATACCAAGGTCAAATATGACTTTGCGGCCTGAACCGTGTTCGATGAGAAAAGGATAGGCAGGTGAATTGGCGAGAACTTCATGGCCAGGTATGGTAGGCTCGAAGAATTCAGAAGCAGAAATACTAGCTCTTGAACCAGTATCAATGATTCGAACCGTTACAGTAGCGTCAGATTGAGAAATAGAAGGAATTGGTTGATTGAAAGCCATTGTTCGAAGTGTCTGAAAATGAATTTTGAACGACGGGGAACGGAGCTGAGATGTGGATAGCTCAAAGGAAAGCATTCAGTTCATATAGAAACCGACTCGGGCATCGTGTAATCATCTGCATCATTACGCATCATCATGCATGGACAAGCAAAGGGCCGTCTTTAGCGGCACCAGCGGAGCGGCTATGGGATACCAAAGAGGAAAGGACCGACATCCACGAAGGTCTATTCCCTACGTTTCAAGGGGGCGGCTCAATTGAAAGTTCGCGATTTTACTCAGCAACAACAGACGCAGTACGTGGAGAATTGACATAGTAAGCCGGCACGCGTATCAGCAATGAAATTAAGTTCGCGCGTGCCGCCTCCGAGTCATATGAGGGCTACAGAATGCCTCGAAGAGTGGTGGAATCGGACCTAAGCTCATCTAAAAGGCGAACATGATGAAAAACGTCTTTGATCGTCCTAATCCCTTACACCTTGGCGGGACATTGCAGTCGGTGCCCCTAGCGTCTCTGCACTCTGTGTAACAAGGACTTGAGGCACACGTCCCTCAAAGGAACAGAGTACGCGCTAAACCTGCTTATAAGGCGCGCCTCGCTCTACAGAGCGAGGTAAGGATTATTCTCTTTACAACCTACACCTGTAGTCTGAATACACGAGCTATCTCCCGCTATCTTTAGTAACGTGAAGCAAGCACTATTGCCTACAGTTACGCCTCACACTCTGCCAAATAATGCTTTCTGCGGCAAGGATTAGTTGAGAAACGTTTTGACTGATTCCCATGGGCAAAAGCCCTTATAAACCTTCATTATATGCATCGCTCTCACAGATACACTCTGCAAAGTTCGCACGTTGCCTAGCCTAAATCGCGTCCCATCATCACACTTGTTCGATACACGCAGAGGTATGTTCAGCGTACGGAGACGCTCTCCCTAATAGTGTACAGCGTTATGACTTTCTATGAACGATTGACCTGACGTTCGATCAGCTATCATTGCAAAAACCAATGGCAGGTTACAACACAAGAGCCTTATTCCGACGGGTTGACCAGCTGTTGAATAAGGACCTGGCTTATGATTTCCTTACAAATGTCGAATACAAAGGTTCTGGGATCGAAAGTGACCCGTTCATCGTCGATTGGATGTTACGCGATCCTGTCAATCCGTTGGAGTTCACATCCATTCGCAAGTGGGGCTTCACCTCCCTTTGACGCATCACAGCATGTTGTCGTTCTGGGGCTTGCCATTGGACCTCTACTTTGAGGTCCCTTGAGCGGTAGGTACTCTTTTGCAGCTGTCAACTTCTGTACTGATGTTCGGTCAGAGCTTTACGGCCGGAAATATGTGTTTTCCTTTACCTACGCCGTGGTTAATATATTCAGTGTCGCTACCGTCGTTGCGCCCAGCGTACAAAGTCTCATCATCTTCCGTTTCCTCGCTGGCGCGTTTGGCTCTTCGTATCAGACTAATGCTGATGGACCTATTGCAGACATGTTCGAAGCTGGAGAGCGAGGGTTGGCACTGACCATCTTTGCGGCTGCTCCGTTCCTCGGCCCAGTTATTGGCCCAACCGGTACGTATCCAACCCTAACGTTTATATGAGAGCGTTCCAACAAGCACTGCTAATTCTAAAACCTTACAGTTAGTGGCTTTGTTGATCAGAATCTAGGCTGGCGCTGGGTTCAGGGTGCGATGGCGATATTCGTCGGTGCCGTCTGATTGATAGGGGTCATCTTGATTCCCGAGACCTATGCCCCAGTCCTCCTCCGTCGAAGAGCTGCTCATCTTTCGAAATTGACAACGAAACACTACAAAAGCGATATGGATGTTCGGCGCGGAAAAACAAGTGCTAAAGAAGCATTTCAAAAGGCCCTGCCCAGGCCGTGGACTTTACTGTTTCGGGAGCCGATCGTGCTTCTGCTTTCCATCTATGTCGCAGTAAGTCATTATCGCTTTGAGGCGATGGACAGCAACTGAAATTATCCCAGATCCTGTATGGAATACTTTACATGCTCTTTCCAGCCTTCCCCATCGTTTACCGGGAAGCTCGTGGGTGGTCGAACAGCATCGGCGGACTTGCGTTCATCAGCCTGGCAGTCGGAATGATGGGTGCTGTCATCTACTCAATCTTCGAGATTCGACGTTATAACAGCATTCTGGAGCAAAGTGCCTCAGGACATGCCGAACCTGAAGCACGCCTGCCTCCTAGTATTATTGGAGCGATTGCGATACTTATCGGTCTTTTCTGGTTCGCATGGACTAATAGTGCCAGCATACACTGGCTCGCTAGTATTGCAGCTGGTGTACCGCTTGAATCTGGGGTTGTACTCGTGATTCTCTCAATCACCAACTACCTCATTGATTCCTACACTGTTTATGCTGCCTCAGTACTCGCCGCGAATGCGGTTTTGCGGTCCATCTTTGGAGCTGTATTTCCTTTGTTCACTACTCAGATATACAGGAGTCTGGGCATACACTGGGCTTCTACAATACCTGCCTTTTTGTCATTAGCATGCGTGCCCTTGCCTTTCTTATTTTACATTTTCGGCTCGCTAATACGTGCTCGAAGTATATTTTCTTTGGATTCCGGGAACTTGAGAGACAGACAACCCAGGGCTGCCACGCCGATGAGCACTATTGGTGGCGAGCAAGTTTGAAGGTCGCACTGTAAGTCTTCGATCTGTCTTACGAGCGGTGGAAAGAGGATATGATATGAAAGGCGATGGTTTCGAATAGATTCACCAGATACATACCTCGGTGGAAGACAAGAAAGACATTTGCCAACGACGATTGGCACGTAATGTTCTGCACGCGCACATGATGTGATGCAATTCAGGAGGAGCAGACTAAGAAGTATCGTTTTGTAAGGAGGGGGGCACTCTAGTGAACGGTCGACGTTTCCACTGCCCTTCAGCACGCTGCAAGATCTTCGAACAATAATTTCAAAATCATCTTCGATTGTGAGACTCGAGTGTCAAATGCTTGATCCCTCGCTATTCCAATCTACATCTTAGCATAGTACAATGAAACGCAATCCAAAAAAGAAGTCATCCCACAAACGCAATTAGGAGTACGAAATGATCGCACTGTTGATGGAGTAGAGCTACTAATTCCATATTTTCAAAATCATATTCTTGACAACAAAAAGATCGTTCTTCTACTTAGTCAACACTACCCAAGGTTACATGCTTTGGCCATCCCGTCGTTCCGTCGTTCCGTCGTCCTTGGTTACGCGAACCGTACATATGAGGTTATCATTTCTTTTCTCTCATGGCCAAGCATGAGATTCAGGAGGCTCAGAATACAGTGAACGAGGCACTACCGGCCTCGTCTATTGGCTTTTCGGGTCACTAGCAGATCTTGCTGCACAATCGCAAGACAGGTAAGTAGCGGTGCGTCGATCTGACACCCCGATTGTGAAAATGAAGTCCTTTAGATGACCAGGAAATGAGTTCGTTTCTTTTCATGTACTAAAAAAGTTCCAAATAGTGATCGTGTTACCGCGCAAAGTGTTACTCAGGTTCTAGCTTACGTGACGGCCCCGAGACTTTCGTGTTCTTCGGAATTTCCTATCGGAATCGGAACGTTCCGCATCTGCTATCTCCACACAGCCACATCCTTCGCAGCTCAACAGTCTTTCCATTTAACCGGATCCTAAGATTTGATTCTCGATAAGACTGGTGTAAGACAGTAGAGCTATTTTTCAGCTGCTCAGCAGAGCACACAATTGATAGCGTCTTCCAGTATTCCGGCAGACTTCTTAAATATTGTCCCCTACGAGCTAGTTCCGAAGCAGACAGAGCCTCATAAAAACTGAAACCTGGAGGCCAAACGTAACTATTCTACACTGCCATGCGATCAGAGTACAACGAATATCGCTTCGAGCTCGCTACCCGACTATTCCTTCGTGCGATGGTTCAGCATCTGGGTGGTTATGGATCGACTTCAGGTATCCGAAAGAGATTAAAGGTACGAAAAGCCTAGACTGCGTACCTATGCTCCTCTATTTTTTGTCTGCTCACGACGTCGTCACTGCGAGTCGTCCCCAGCGCGGCTGGCGCTGAAAGACGAAGATTTTGAGCTACCCGAGATCTCTTCGACTTTCCAATTCGATAGGCTAATTAGTCCGGTCTTACTCAGACCCGACATATAACGCTACCAGCCTTTCTCCGCACAATATGTCTTCGCACGATGCGTGCCAAGCGAGTCGCTACCGAGCGCATTTTAGCTGCGAGCTCATGAAAGGCCTACACCAACCACCTTTATGGTGCAATTGGTTGCGATCCTAAAATTCTGTATCCAAGATCTGGCATACGCACTTAAGCCTTTGTTTTCCTCATATTCGAAGCTCGCTGCATCCTGTTCACTGTATCCAACAAGTCACGTGATTGTGTCATCAAATTCATCAGTCGAACATGGCTATGCCTGGCAAGCGGAAAGGGCGCGTCAACACCTTCAATGTCTTGATCCTCCTGTTCGTAGGTCTTGGATCAATGAGCTATGGCTACACAGCTTCCATTATCGGCACTACACTCGGGCAACCATCCTTCATCAGTTATTTTGAGCTTGATACACGAGAGAACGGCACCGACCTCATCTCCACGACCAACGGACTGTTCCAAGCTGGCGGTGTTGTCGGCACTTTGCTGCTTCCAAACATCTCTGACCGGTATGGGCGCAAGTGGGGCATTGCGATTGTAAGTTACCTCACGTTCATCGTCCTGTCGTGGGCTGATGGATATACAGAGTGCTATGTTAGCTATCTTATCTGGCGCTTTTCTCGCCGGCAGCACCAACATCGGAGAATTCATCTTCTTCCGCTTTATTGCCGGTGCCAGCGCATTCATGATCCTCGCGGCCATTCCGATTTGGATGAACGAGGTCGTACCTGTCAAGATGAGGGGAGGTCTTGTCGACATACACGCTGTCTTTCTGATTCTTGGGTACTGCATACAAGGATGGGTTGGCTTTGGCTTCTTCTTCGCGACGAAACTCGGAGAGA